CATCACACTGAAACGAACTGGTCAGCAATTATGGTCCCCTTCGCTGTGCACAATTCCACTTGAACATGAAGCAGCCCTGTGTTGACACCTCCACATGCAAAATGATGAAAGTCACAGGGAGGATGAATCACTTGCCATCCCAGTGGAACAGGGATGGAGTCCCCACCTGCTGGACTCAAACTCGTACTTCCTCCCCTCTCGATGCTGACGCATGTCGAGCAGCTGCTGTGTAAACAGAGTGGGATGAATAGTAAAATCTATGAGAGAGAGTTAGATGGACATCCGATTCCTCCAAAATCCTGTATTATTCTGGTCTGCACCCCCTCCACATCCCCCTTGTGCTATTTACCTTGTGACAGGGTGGGTATGGTGTAGCATACTCATTCAGAGATACATTCACTGTGTCAGAAATCAGCGAGGAGCACTACACAGCCGACTTGCCTCCGCTGGGTATCAGGACTCATTGTTGTGACAAATAAGGCCCAAGTGGCTTGGAGGCACACACACACACAGCTGATGGATAGATGATGGAAAATAATCACAGACATGATACATAACTAGGGTTTTAAACTCAGGATTTTATGAAGGTGACAGCAGTATTCAAGATGAATAAATGCCTACTCCGTAAAGAGAATTGTGTACATCTCATTATACATAGATCTGTACATACATGTGTAAATATCATATACATATTTACATATTATACATTCAATAAATTCTAAAAGATGTATAGAGACATATCAATCTCCAGATCATACTAAGGAACTAATAAAAACTCTAAACAGGGTGGTCAAGGAAATAGTTTGAATTCAAACTATTTTTCTTCCGTGACCTTAGACCCTTCTGTACCCCCACCATTGCCTTGTTCTGTGCTGGTTTTGCATGTCCACTTTTTTGGAGCCCTTACCAAATTCTTCATTGTTTGTCTAGGTTTTACTGACTCAAGCCTTTAAGTAACCAGTCTATTGACCAATTTCCTGTGCTAGATACCTGTCTTACCACTAATCATTGAGAAAGGCTGTGTGGGGTTGTAGGTCCCTGTCTAGCCTCAGTCCTCTGTGCCAGTGGCTTGTTGGTTCCCGGGGCAGGGGTGGGGGGTGAGGTGTCCTCTTTAGCCTCACTGGTACTGTGTCAGTATCCTGGCCGTGGGAGGAACATCTTAAGCACTTTTTTGATGGGAAGTATTACTTCCTGCTTGGAATATGGATTGAAAATAGACTTTCCATTGTGCAAACATAGCACACTTCCTATTTAAAACCATTAAACATGACCCTAGAAACCACAATGAAAGAGATTTGCTGTTAAACCGGATCTTGCCCAATATCAAAAGGATCGCCAGAGAACTATGTATTTCGCCTACCAACCTAGCTGAAGTAAGACGGTCTTGCTACTCCCGAGACTGAGCATCGCCCACATCTCCTGGATCTCCGTGGGCAGCCCGGGCAGAGGAGCGATGGGGTGGCATCTTCCCTTTACTCTGCAACTTGTCTTCCTCCCTGACCAGCTACCACACGCAAGCTCCGCCAGTGGAGAGCAGGTGGCGCAATCACTGCATTCAACACCTAACTGTGACGTGTGTTCGTAGAGGAATTCAGGAGACACTTTCTCCTCTGTTTTTCCACTTCAGCACTGGCCTTCCACGTTCAATTTAGATACTATGGCTCACGGCTAGATTAGTTGGTTTTGGCACTGGGAATCTATGAGGAAAGAAAGGTTTTGGCTCTTTCTGTATGAAATGACTCCAAAATACAACAAAAGGATGTTACTCCCCTGGCTCATTTGGAAACCGTTACTGAATGCCTTCTACGTACCAAGTACAATGTCAGGAACTTAAGTACTGACATAACAACAGCCACTCCTTTTCTTCAAATTTCTTACTGCTTTTTTGTTTGGTTTTTACAGGTAGCCAGGGAAAGAGACAAATATACAAGGCAATTCAGGGAGAAGTGAGGTAGCAGCTTGAGAACTAAATATCTGACCTCACTCAGGTTAAGAGAAAGTTTTATAAAGGAGGCAATGTCTAGGCTGATAAATACATCTGAACAGATGTTAACCAGATTGAAACAACCTCATAATATCCCATTCCCCTAAGCTAATCCATTACTATTAAGTACATTTACTAATATAGAATGTTACATATTGATAATTTGCTGATAGCATAATATATATTATATGTTATATACAGTACAATGTATACACATATTTAATGTATGTGCATACACGTGTGTGTGTGGTCTTAGTGTTTCAGGCTCCGTACTTGGCAGTGAAGAAATCAGAAGGCATATGACAGGGCCTTGGATCTTAAGAAATCCATTGTCTGGTAACTGCTGCTTCTCTTACCTTGAGCCTTTCAAACGTGCATTGGAAACATGCTTCAATTTCAAAATAAGTTTCACTTACGCTTTTGTATAACTTTCCTAATTTCCCAAGTGAGAACTGCCAAAGCATCCAGATTCCAGGCCATGGTTCTCTGGTGTGATGACTCTAGCCGTGAATCCAGTGGCATGTTCCACTGTAAAGAGGAAACCTCAGGCTGGTATGCCCATGGGAAAAACGCTGAGTCACAGGCAACACTGGAATGCTGCTTGATGAAACGGTGCCAGCTGAAGGTAGCAGGCAGTTTCTATTTGCTAAATAAAGAACAAGCAACCCTGAGGAATCAGCTATGAATATTACGCAAAGATAAGACCTAAGTTATTTCAAGTCTTTCATCAACCAGCAAGCCCCAAAGGAAATCTCTTTGGCTGGAGGGAAGGATATTCTCCACCCTACACGTACACAGCTTACATCCTCTCCTGGTCCCTTGTCTTATTAATTCCTAGATCATTCAGGCACCAGCCTCTCTGATTGCAACACCACTGAGTGCCGATTTCAAATGTAAGCCACACGCACAAAAGAGAGAGAGAGAAAACATTATTAAGAGTAAAAACAGGGAAACAAGCATCTACTAAAAGCCTGGTCTCCTCCAGGCACTGTGTTTAAAGTTTAAACTTTCACATGCATTATTTGGTTTATCTAATCCTCACAACAAGGTTAGAAGGTAGCCCTTGTTAATCCCAGTTTACAGAGGAGAAAATTGACTTTAAGAGATGGTTAACAACTGAACTGAAGTGACAAAACTACTAAAATTCAAATTCAGTTCTGTTCAGCACTGAAACCTATCCTTTTCATTTCCATTTTGTCTTGATGCATTAGTAAGTACCTGAACTTGGCTTTGGTGAGGGAAGGATTTTAAAATGACAGTTCGCAACATTAAGGACCCTTATGTGCCTCACTTCTGAATATGATACCTACTAAAACACCTTTAGAAGGAAAAACTCTTAGTAAATAGTAATATCTTTTTTAAATAGGGATAATTTCTTGATCTGTCTTCAGTGTTAAATTCTTCCTTTTATTCCTTCTTAATCTCAAAATGACTCAGGTTTCCAGATGGAGCCAGGGTTGAAGTCAAACTTTAAGTTAGGATAAACAAATTACTTGGAATTTCCAGT